AGGCATGGCGTGTATTAAGGTGAAAAAATGGGGTATATCACCTGTAACTAGCAGTTCGTTTTTTATTTTTAGGTAATCTATCTCTAGAAACAATGATGTTTAAGGACATATGTCCTCGGAGCATTATTCTATAGTGATGAAAATTGGATAATTAAATTCCATCAATTGGCAGCAGGTTAAACCTGTTTATGGTGATTCCACTCGTTATCTGTAGTTTGAAACAGTATTTTGATACTGTGGTTGGAATGTACACTACTTTGTAATATTCAACAAATCAAATGTAAGGAGCAACATTGTAATCACTACCTTTATTTTTCTCTACTATACAAATGGTTTGGTACCAGGCCACGTAACTCCTCTGCGTAGAATATCAGCACTAAACATCGTTGGGATCTGCTACGGAAAGTAGGGTAAGCGAAAAATTATTATTTTCATAGTGTTCCACTGCTGGAGGTATCAATTATTTTTAATTGCAGTTAGGGAGGAACAGAAAGGATACCTTCCTGCGGTAGAAAGGCTGTGGTGAAGCGGAGAAGCAGAGCATCTCTGTGCTAGCGTGCTAGTCAGGTGGCCACCTTCAGGGCTGGCTACAGTGCCCTGTGAAGGGGCATGCCTGAGCTGCTGAGGTTGCCCACTGGGCATGGTCTTCCTGCCCCATTGCGTTTAGACAGCACGACGCCTCCCTCTGTTACAGTGCTCTCCAAGTCGGGCTGTTGTGGTCAGCCTCTATCTTTTTTGTTGATGCTAACATCCCCTGTTTGGTTTGTGGACTCGGTAAATTTGGCTCGTGCATTGCTTTCTCGTGTCTGCCTAGTGGCCGACCACCACACTCGGCTGCCTTTCTGGCTTAAGCCCTCTGTATTCCAGAATAGGGCTGGAAAGTTTTGAAATATTAAATGTTTTTCTGCTTAATCAGTTTTTTACTCTCTATAATACTACTCTTTGACTTTATCAAGAGTAGTACTCTGCTTTTTTCTCAGCCATGTCTTGCTTTCACGTCCTTCCTGAATGTCTCACAGATCACTGACTGTGTCACTGTTAACTTCATGTTCTCTTTGGCCATAAAGGAGACCTGCAGTCTGGATCACCAAGTAACTGGATTACTAGAAAACAATTATAGAACATGTGATTTATGCCACTATGAAGTTAGCATTTCTGGCATTAACTCCCTCTCCTATATTCTCTCGGTGACTTTTACCTCTCTTTTTTTTTTTTGAGACATAGTCTCACTCTATTGCCCAGGCTAGAGTGCTGTACGTCAGCCTAGCTCACGCAACCTCACCTCCCTGGCTCAAGCAATCCTTCTGCCTCATCTCCTGAGTAGCTGGGACTACAGGCATGCACCACCATGCCCAGCTAATTTTTTCTATATATTTTTAGTTGTCCAATTAATTCTTTGTATTTTTAGTAGAGATGGGGTCTCGCCTTGCTCAGGCTGGTTTCTAACTCCTGACCTCGAGCAATCTGCCCGCCTCGGCCCCCAGAGTTGCTAGGATTATAAGTGTGAGCCACCGTGCCGGCTACCTCTCTCTCTCTCTTTTTTTTTTTTTTTTTTGAGGCAGAGTCTCACTCTGTTGCTTGGGCTAGAGTGCTGTGGCATCAGCCTAGCTCACAACAACCTCAAACTCCTGAGCTCAAGCCATCCTCCTGCCTCAGCCTCCCAGGTAGCTGGGACTACATGCATGTACCACAGTGCCTGGCTAATTTTTTCTATTTTTAGTTGTTTGGCTAATTTCTTTCTATTTATAGTAGAAACAGGGTCTTGCTCTTGCTCAGGCTGGTCTTGAACTCCCGAGCTTAAGCAATCCTCCCACCTCAGCTTCTCAGAGTGCTAGGATTACAAGCGTGAGCCACCTCGCCCAGCCCTACCTCTCTTTTTTTAAGTAATCAACCTGTGCAACTTTTCACTATCTACTGCCCCTTCACTTACTTTTTGTGTGAGTCACTCTGAAAAAATCAGAAATTGCATTATACTTTAAAGAAGAAATGGCAGCCCAAGACACAACAGGTCCTATGTTTGCCTTCTGTAACTCATAAAACATATTAGTTTCTAGCCATCACATTAACTCTAAATCTGCATTTCAAAGTTACTATAAAAAGTAATGTACACAAGTCATTCATACAGTACATAAAATGATCTTCACTCCCAAGATAACCATTTTTTACATCCTCTTTGTTGTAAGAGTTGTGCTGTTTACCTCTGTAACTCAAAATAATGAGCTTATATTTCTGTATATTGGTTTAATCAACTTTAAGCAGAAATGAATAATTTATTTCACCTCCTTCCAATTTTTTACTTTTATTCTTCTGTTGGTCATTTTTATAACTTTAAATATCTGTCGTAAACCCCTGTTTCTGCGTTTATTAGGCTTTATCTTAACTCCCTACACTTCTCCCCAACATCTCCTTCCACCCCAGTTTTTCCCCTCTTGAGTCCTCATTGGTTGTGAGTTCTCTAGTGGTTGGCTCTAAAAATTGAAAATTAGTCAAGCAGCTTTTACAGTGATGGCCATGTATATATTACTTACTGCACATTCACAGAGGAGAAATTGGGCTCTTGGGTGCGTCTTTATATTTGGGCCACTCAACAGATATTTAAAGCATTTGTTCTTTAACTATCATTTACTGAAAATCATATCAGGTTTTTTCATATTTGTATTATAGCTGACATGTATGCCTTTTTCTTTTTCCCAGCATTTCTAATTACCTTTCTTGTATGTAGAAGAAACGTACACTTTCTTTACTATGTCTCTCATATATTCCTGCTTCTTATTCACACTCTTTGCAAATGCCCTGACATGCTTCTAGGGCTGCCTTATGGCTGTTAGCCCTGAATTTCTCTGCACTGCACTCTTGGGTTTGTTCTGCCTGTGCCTCAACCCCATGTTGTCTCCCTTTGTTCCCTGTTTGTTTTGCTTAAGTACTTTATTCAGAAGTGTTGCATGAAAGTTTAATTTGGTGTCCTTGCATGGTTTACCTATTCAGCTGACAGCCTGTCTTCTAAGATGTCATCAGAACTTTTGGTCTGCTGTTACCTGCCAGCCCATCCATGCTTTTATGTATCTTTTTTTTTTTTTGAGACTGAGTCTCACTCTGTTGCCCAGGCTAGAGTGAGTGCCGTGGCGTCAGCCTAGCTCACAGCAACCTCAAACTCCTGGGCAATCCCACTGTCTTAGCCTCCCGAGTAGCTGGGACTACAAGCATGTGCCACCATGCCCGGCTAATTTTTTCTATATATATTAGTTGGCCAATTAATTTCTTTCTATTTATAGTAGAGACAGGGTCTGGCTCTTGCTCAGGCTGATTTCGAACTCCTGACCTTGAGCGATCTGCCCGCCTTGGCCTCCCAGAATGCTAGGATTACAGGCGTGAGCCACCGTGCTCGGCTGCTTTTATATATCTTCATTTGACTTTGTCCACTGATTTGAACTGGAAGCCCTTTCTCTTCGCTTGCATCCTTTTCACAGAGAAATCAAGGCCATCTGCTTTAAACTTCTTTGACTTCTTTTCTCACTTTCAGTTATTATCCTCCTATTATTATCTCTGTTTGTATTCATTCTTTCTTTTTGTCTCAGTGGTAAAAGTGTCATATTTCTGCCCGTAGCCAGTTTTATCCATCTGTGCTTTGTATTCCATTCCTTTTCACCTTTATTTCTCCTGTATCTTCAGCCTTTTACTATCTATATTAATATTTATATATTATACATTATATATTATACATATATACCTTCTATGTAATGTTTGTATATTACATGTTACATAATTTTTAAAATCTTGAATAGCAAAATAACAGCTATTCTTTTGACCTATGTATCTCTTTAGCCATCACCCTGTTTCTCTCTTCCCTTCACAGCCAAGCTTTTTGAAAGAGTGTCTCCTTTTATTGTTAGCATTTTGACTGCATATGCACTCCCCAGACATTCTAGTCTGGGCTCTGTTCCCTGCTCATGCCACTAAGGCTGCTCACTGGTGATCTCAGTGCTGTCATCCAGTGGATGCTGTTTTGTCCTTATTTTACTTGAAATATTCAACACTAACCTGTTTTTTTTTTTTTTTTTTTTAATGTCCTCTTTCCTCTGCTTCTCTGACGCTGTTTCATGGCTGCTTCCACTTTTCTGTCCATTCCTCTTAGTCATCTTGTTGGGTCTTTATCTGCCCACCCGTCCAGTGTTGGTTTTATCAAGAGTTCTGTCCCTAATTTTCTGATCTTATTATTTACAACCATGGTTTCATCTACCACTGGGTGTGGATGTCTTCTGAATCTTACTAGACTACCCTTTTCTCCTGCAAAGACCTACTGGTAGTGCTTGCACTTGGATGTCTTACTGATCCTGAAACATAGCTTGTGCCTGCTATGTGATAGATGCTCAGCAAATACTTGAATGCATGAACAAGTGTCTTGAATATAGGGAATTAATGGCACTCAATGTCTACTGTGTGTGCATATTTAATAAGTTACTGAATAATGTTTATTTGGAGTCTATCCTCCAAGGTCATTATCTCTCTTCTTTATTTCTGTCATTTTACTGGCGCATTGTACTTTTGTCATAGGAAAGGAGAAGAAAAAGAAGTTTCAGTCTGTTTTTGTTGTTGTTTCTTAATAGTTCTTATTGAAAGTATGGGGGGAAGAGGTCTGAAAGGATTGTCAAAGTGAAATATATGTTATCTGTGGATTTAATTTATTTATGTATTCCCAATCCTTTAGTGTCATGGATTATAGAAATGAACTGTATTTTTTTTTGTTGTTGCCATGAATTATATTTCCCTTTTTGGGGGGAGGGGTTTGATTTGGTTAAAATGTTTATGGGAAGGAGGGGGTTGGAGATATCTGTGTGCAGAAATAGATGAAACTCCTCTTCCTGTCATCTGTCTATTGGTAGAGCCTGGCACTTGCCAGGTGTTGACAGATGCAAAGCAAGGTACTTGATGTAGAGGTAAATGCTGAAACGGCCAGTGTCATCTGCAGGTGAATTATTTAATTACAGACAAAGGGTATTAAACATTTTACAGTATGCTCTCAGAAATAAAATAGGATTAAATTTCATGATTTCATGTGAAGGGTTGTAAATGTTCTTATCCATTCTGATGCAGTGAAAAAAACTGAACTGAAGGACCTAGAGAATTGGCTGCATTAAAAATTCTCAAGTGATGTTTTTGGATTTAAAAAAAAATTTTTTTTTTTTTTTTTGAGACGGTCTCCCTTGTTGCCCTGGCTAGAGTGAGTGCCGTGGCGTCAGCCTAGCTCACAGCAACCTCAAACTCCTGGGCTCAAGCGATCCTCCTGCTTCAGCCTCCCAAGCAGCTGAGACTACAGGCATGCACCACCATGGCCGCTAATTTTTTGTATATATATTTTTAGTTGGTCAATTAATTTCTCTCTATTTTTAGTAGAGACGGGGTCTCGCTCAGGCTGGTTTCGAACTCCTGACCTCGAGCAATCTGCCCGTCTTGGCCTCCCAGAGTGCTAGGATTACAGGCGTGAGCCATCACGCCCGGCTAAAAAAAATTTTTTTTTAAATTTCAAAATATTAAGGGGGTACAAATGCCTTTGTTACATGGGTACCTTTTATAATGCTTAAGTTGGGGCTTTTAGTTTGCCCATCACCCAAATAGTGTTCATTGTACCCCATTGGCCAGTTTTTACCCATTGCTCTTCCCCCTTTCCTTCGATTCTTTATAGTACTTGCTCTCCAAAGACGACAGACAGACAGACAGACAGCACACACACACACACACACCACACCCACCCACCCACCCACCCAACTAACAAGCAGTCTACAACTGAGAAACAAACAATGGATAGGGTCAAGAGCCCCGGGATCTGTCTGTACCTACCTGTGCCACGTTTTTCTAAGTTTTCAGGGGAGGATTATATCTACATCCATCAGTAATATTGAGAGGAATGACTAAAATACTCTGAGCTCATTAGAAAGAGAGTCAGCATAAACATTTCCTCTTTTTATTAGAAAGGTGATTAATTATGGCTTAACTAACCACCATTAGCAACTGACAGTAAGGTTTGAGGCTTGAAATAGAAATGGTTTGAAATGTAAATTTTTATGTGCAGCTACTGTTTTGACAACTAAATCATTCCTTCTTCCTTTTGTAGGCTTTAGAATCCAAATTAGCAGCTTGCAGGAATTTTGCAAAGGACCAAGCATCACGAAAATCCTATATTTCAGGGAATGTTAACTGTGGGGTTCTGAATGGCAACGGCACAAAGTTCTCTCGATCAGGGCACACGTCTTTCTTCGACAAAGGGTAAGTCCGACATGTTTTCAGTGATAATTTGTTGAGTGGTGGTATAGTTGCAGGTTATTAATAGTGAGCTTACCTGAAGCCTTGCAAAGGTAAACTCAGTTTGATAAACCTCCATGAAACCTATTACCGTTCTAATCTTAGGGTACATGAAATGTGTTGCTGTTTGCTAGTCCTCATGGAGTCTGTTGCCCTGGGAACCCTGAGTCTGAATCTCTGTCCTGGGAAGTAGACTCCTGACAGGCAGCAGCGCTGGGCTCTAGAGAGTCAATCAAGATGACTGTCGGTCCCTGTTCTCAGGGGACTTATAGGCTACTAGACTTTCTTAGCAAATATTTTTTAAAGATAAAAGAGAATGCTGCATTTTTGTATATGCAAACTCTACTATAAACCTCCTGTCTGAAGATTTTAGAAAAACATAAACCCTGATGTATTTAGGCACTGGATCCAATACAGTTTGGGAGATACAACTTTTGTATGAAGGGAAGACATTTTGGGGGGATTAAAATATAAATTGTCTTAAGATTGAAGCAGTGATATATCCTTAATGCAAAAAATGTCAGTTTGTATAAAAGTATATGAAGTAAAAAGTGGATGATTTTTGCTTTCACATTATTTTTGCATTCCTTATAGTTACTCTTAGGCATGTAAAATCATATTTTTATGATAGACACTTGCTATAAGCTTTTTGCCACACTTTTACGGGATTATATTTTAAATATTGCTCTGCAACACGCTGATCATGATTTACATTGCCAATATCTTTCCATGTCAGTATATATTATTCTACCACAATTTACTATTTTTTTTAAATACTCTGTGGCTATACTCTTATATGTGTATGCCTTACTGGAGGTAACTAGTTAGGACCTGTGGCCTGGGAATGCTGACCAATTCGAATTACTTAAGGTAGTTGTTATTGGAACAGCCAGCTGGGGTGCCCATGGTCCCTTGCCTCCGTTGCTGAGTCACAGAGGCAGTTCGTTCTTGTGTTTCTGTGAGAGCAATGCAGGCACAGCTCTAGAAATGTTCACAGTTCCTTAAAGGAGCTTGTATTTTCTGCTGTCTGTAATAATTGTGGCACATTTATGGAGGACCTGATTTGATACATAGTCCACTCTAAAAAGAGTCTTGCTGTCTTGTCTATCTTTGTATACACATTTCATTAAGACATTCTATTAAAAGCACATTCTAAAATACCAGTATACAAATCAGAACTTTAATCTGCCCATTGGGGCTCCTCAGGTGGCGTAAGTATAAAATTGATCTTCCAGGCTTAGGAGTTTTCAGGCAAATTTGAGGAGTGCCCTGTTCTTATACTATAATGGTAAATGGGATGGATAGATATTTTTATATGAGAGTAGCCATTTCCCCCAAATTATACAGAGAAAGTTTGGGGGTAGTATTCATGAATGTTGGGAAACAGTGCCTCATTATTTTTCCTGCAACTTGTAATTACCTCCCGTATAGTAGTTACTAGTCTCTCTCTGGAATTGTATTTCTTGGCAGGCCTCAGGCACCTATGATGTGAGAACAGGCATAAACCATAAATGGATTGGTTAGACAGATGCTTTTGGGTCTGGAAAGTCCTTAAAGGGATAGTCACAATGTGGGAGGGATAACACCATCCGTTCGGACTTATTGCTCCTGATGCAGAGCACCAGGGCAGGGATTGCCTGGAGTGAACCAGCCCTTAGGAAGATGCAGGGGAGTCAGTGCATGCTGAAACCAGGTGTGGTTCTTGGGCACTCTGACTCCCTTGAGGAACATTCTAGATGCAGATGCAGGCTCCTGACCTGCACCTGGAAGTGTGCTTCCCAATAGAAATAGTTACTGATGGCACTTAATTTAGGTTTTAAATTGTACCAATTTTATTTTGCACTGTTTCTATTAAGAATTAAATACACTTTTGTGTGCTGGCATTTGCCCAAGTGTTTAGCTTATGTGATAAATGGATTATGTGTGCACACTGAAATATTAACCTACTATGCTTGAGTTATTATCTTTGTCTAGTTGCCATATTCCTAAGGATAACTCTGTCGTGGGTTTTGCTGTGCTTTTACTTCCTTGCTGCTTTGCTTTGATTCTGGCTCCCTTCTGGCCTGCCTGGCTTTTTATCTCTGCCCTTTCTTCCTGCTGACCTGTTTACTATATAAAAACCGAGATGGTATGTACCAGCTACAAAAGGAAGGGGTGGAAATATTACAATTCCTAGATCTATTATACAGTCTGGCAGGTTAAAACAAAGCCCAGTCTGTATAGGAGTGTAGAATTATAGCTTGTAGTTTTAGTGTGAGAAAAAGCTCCCCATTTGAAAAAAGGCTTTTGGCTCTAGAACTTGCCTGCCCTCCCCTCTTACTCTTGAGGAGTCAGTCTGCAGCAGTGACACTGTAGCTTACTCATGCTGTTAGAGACCTATAGGAAGACTGTGGGAAAGAGCCAATCAAAGTAGATTTGCATGTGCATTGTGTGGGTGCACGTGTTCACCACACCTTCACACTGCCCTCACAGTCTTCAGATGCAGTTAGAGCTTAACTAGGTATATTGCTTTATGGGATTCAAAAATACTTTATAAATTCTGGTTGGTTGAGGGTTTCTTGGAATCAGGATTTTATCTAGTCTGCAATCATTTCTGGCAGCCTCTAAGAGGTAGGTTGCTATGCCTGCTTCCCAGGTGTTGCTGTGTTTCCTCCAACCACTAATAGCTTTTATGGCACCCATCTAAAAGATACAGATTAACTGTGTACTATCGTCACTTGGATTCTGTCAAAAATATTCTTTTTTCCCCATAACTTTTATTTAGTTTCTTATGTATTACTTGTCCTATTTTTGTAAGCCAGTGTGATTTCTTTTGGCCTGTATATAGGTGGGCGTGGAGTAATTTTAGGGCACGATGTGAAAATAGTATTTGTATTACTGTTTAATGTATTTTCCTTTTTTTTATTAGGCAAGAAAAAGTCATATTTCCCACGTTGTTCATGGGTAACTGAATTTGTTTGCTGTGCTCTTTTTCATTCTTTCTTAATCATGGTGTGTGGTGGAAGATATATTAACTGGTTTTACTAACTGCATGGGGCTGGCTCAGCTTTAACCAACTTACAGCCCATGAGTGAGCTTTCAAGAGCCTGTTTGACTCGTCTAGGTACTATTATTATTAATTCAGCTGTGTTAAACAGGAACAAATTAGTTGCATTGGTCCTGGGGCAGCTGGACTAGGTGTGCCAGGGGGCACTCCTGATACACGGTAGGGCACTGCAGGTGATGTCTGAGTGTGGAGTTGGGGAGTAAGGTTCACTGATGGGCTCTGGGACCACACCGGGCTGTTTTCATGGGCCTGGAGTTCTTCTTGTGACCCAGTTGCTTCTGTTTTCTCAAATTAGGCACTAATGGTAATGGAGCCTTGTGTATGGCACTCCCTCACCTCTGTGCTCATGCTTGTGTTCCCAAATTAAATTGGAATAGTAAATGGGAACATGTGTAAGATCTTTTTACATTTCAGAACTGCTTTTCAGTTAGCAAAACCTGAGCTGAGGCCTGGAGCTGCTCTGAGCCCACAATTACCCATTGAAGTAGGGAGACGGGTCTGGAGTGTGTGCGTGTGGGCTCTTCTGAATTAGCTCCCACCCACTCTTGTCCTTTCCCCTCCTGCCCTCTCAGGTGCACCCTTCCTTGCATCCAGGACAGGCGTGTTTCCATCCTGATGCATTAGATTGATTGTCCTTCTGACCAGCTTCTAAGTGTGCATTGATTAGTTCTTCCCCATCGTGTCTTCTGTTGCCTTTTTACAACTGACCTTCACACCTTTTCGTAGCTGGATTCTCTATTTTTCAGATTCCTTAACTAGCCGTTGGTGGTAAGACCATGAAATGTCATAGCCTCTGGAACGTTTTTTACACACGAGTCCCAGACCTGTTATTTCCATGCCTGCCCGTTCCCTCTTCCTTCAGTCCTATGTTGTCCACTGGGACATTTCCCTTTGGCTCTTTTGCTGCTCCCTGAAACCAAACATGGTGAGTTTAGAGGTATCTCTTCTCTTGGAAGCCTTTCCCCATTGCGCAACTTTGCACTCCCCTGAAAGGCCCTCACCAGACCCATAATCTCCCTCTGGTCTTTAACTTCCCACTTCTTGACTTAGAAGAGACATGCTAGGTGGGACCCTGGTGGAATTGTGTTTCTGTCTCTGCTCCACCCTCCTTCAAATCAAGAGTCCCATTTCCTTACCTCACCACTTTTCTCCCTTTGTATCCTGGCCTGCACTGCTCACCTTTGCCACGGGAGCCGATCACACTGGCAACGCCAGGGCGCTTGCTTCCCGAAGACTATCAGGTGGCCCTGACCGGAGGCGACTAGGCAAGGATGGTCGCCTGGGCATTTGGAGGAGGTTGTGGGTCTGATTTCCCCATTGATGTGTTGCTGGTTGAGCTCAGGTTAATGCTAGACCTTCTCTTGCCTTGGTTTCCTCCTCAGTGCAACAAGGGAGAGTTCCTTAAAGGGCCATCTAACTTGAAAATGTTGGCGTCCTGTCCCTAAACCCGTACGTGGATCCATCTTCCTGGTTGCTGCTTTTGCGCGTTTCTGCGGACCAGGTGCCAGATTCTTCTTGACAACCAACAGTGCTCCTTTTCTACCGAGTCGGGGGCTGTCTGCAGTACAAGTTTGGGGACTTGCCCTGCTACTGTGATCTGTGAGGCTGGGAATCTGAGGTTCACATGTTGAAAGCCGAGGCCCTTTGTGGGGCCTGCCTAGTTCTACCTGAGGTTGGTAGGAGAAGCAGGCTTCAGAGACTTTGGGACTAGCCAGACAAATGACAGATGGAGCTTATTATATGAGGACTAGAGTGGCAAATAGGACATATGGCCCTTGGCCCCAGAAGAGGCACAGGGATGTGGCCTTGGGAGAATGGACACGGGCGGTGTAAAGCTTTCCAGTGTGATGAACCTCAAAAGTCAGACCTTTCCCAGCCCAAAGAGAAAAGGGAAAATCCCAGACAACAGAGAGAAACG